ACCTAGAGGTGTTATGAGATGTGTGTGGCATTACATACTGTAGTTCATTTGTGTGAGGATGGTTTAAAAAAAGCTGCACTTAAACACACCAAAGATTATAGCTAACGGCCAAGTCGCATGTACTGTACGTTGTGTGCCTGCATGAGAGGAAATAATTCTCCATAGCACCTCCACACTGTCCAGCCACTGGCAGTAGTCTGTATTCATCATTCAAAAAACGAAACTGGAAGACCTACAGGATAGATTTAAGACACTAGTTAGCCAGTTAGCGCTTAGCAACACAACCTGATGTTGAAAGAACAAAGGATATTTACCATGCATGCATGTAACACAAACAGTTACTGTACAAGCTGAAAAGCTCAAGGGCTAAAAAAATAATCTTACCTGATATAACAAGTCTGTTTTGACCTTGCATCCCCTAGACTTTAGCCATTTGTTTGTCTTTGTCACTCCCGTTTCTCTTTTCATGCACTGAGCTGAACTGCCAATCACAGTGATTTCATTCACTGTCTGGCTCTTCGGTCTTTGTTGCCAATTCAACATGCTGAATCAGCCAAAAAAAGGCAGACAACGGTCAGCTAGTGCCATCGTTGCGGTACACACTGCACAAACTAGAGACAGACCCTCCCTGACAGCATGACACTGACTAACAGCCGACCGTCAAATTGGTGTGTCAGGGCCTTTAAGATGGCCATCCCCAAGCAATAGATCCAATACCCCCAATCCAATTTGGATTTTTGAGGCCAGAAAATATTGATATTTTAAAGTCAAACAATCTGAAAACAACAAAAGTATACATATATATATATGTAAAATTCATTTTTAGAATCAACATTTAGTGTTAACACTTATCAATTCATAGGCAATATGGTAACACTGGACGATTAATGTTTCGTCTCAGTTTATTTGTCTGTTGGACAGTTAGATGATTCACTAGATGCTGGATCTCAGCAGTAGTCCACTAATTATCTTGCAGCAGTGTAGAAATATTTCTGTGTTATTTATTACCAGTTGAAGCCAAGAAAAGTGTTAAATCACTAAAGGCCTTCTGGTTCTCCCCAGATTAACATTTGTGGTGGTTTCAATGGGAACGAGTTCCTGCAAACAGCTGAATGTTACAGCCCAGAGACCAACCAGTGGACACTGATCAGCCTCATGAGCTGCCAGCGCAGTGCAGTTGGCGTCATTGCATATGGACCATGTCTTCGCAGTAACACGAATCTCTGCTGATACTTTCATAACACGCAAACTGTTCAAAGATTTGCTCAGTAGCTAGATTCACACACTCAAAGACACTTTGAGGACGGGTGTTCTTTCTTGCAAAGATGTCGACAGACTGGTTGTATCATCATTTCAAACATTTGACCCTTTATTTTACTTTTCCTCCCAAAGGTTGGTGGCTTTGATGGGTCCCCCTGTCTGCGAAGTGCTGAGGCATACAACCCCCAGACCAACACCTGGCATGAAGTGTCGCCCATGTTGCTTCCCAAGAGGGCATTCGGCATTGCAATGCTTGATGAACTGCTCTTTGTTGTTGGGGGATACAATGGCTACTCCGACTCCTATAATGTCCAGTGCTATGACGGAACAACTGATGAGTGGCATGTGGCCTGTGACATGAACTTTGCCCACTCTGATATTATCTGCTGTGTGGTGTTCGGACTCAGCAACATGGCTGACTATGTTGTCCCTCGTGACTTTCTGCCGTGTTTAAATTTGGAAGATGAGAGTTCTGACTCTGCTGAGTCGTTAGACTCTGTCTGACACACCTGAGCAGTGCTCTTTACTAACATCCACCCTGGTGAGACTTTAACAGAAACAATGAAATAAATTTCTTTGTGCATCAAAATGTTGTTACTCCAGAGATTTCAAACTTTTTTCAGTTTGTGTCAGAATTTTTTTTCTATGTGAGAAGGGTGCTGTGTCTACTCTGCAGACACAGTTACCAAACTACATGACTCTGACCCTGACCTTTGAGACCCTGTCCAGCTACTAGATGGTAGAGGGAACGTAGTGCTGGGGGAATGTAGACTACATATACATATATATATATATAAATATTTTATTTAACCTTCCTGACATTGCTGGCAAGGTAAGTCTGTGATAAAGTTGAAGGGGGGCACGAAGGAGGGAAGGGAAAACTGTTCTGACTAGTTCTGTGTTATTATCTTGTTGCTTAAATTTGAAAATAAAAAGAAATTTAAAAAAAAAAGATTCTTGATTTTAAGAATAAAGTCATAATCTTACGAGAATAAAGACGTAATTTTGAGAAAAAAGTCCTAATATTACCAGAATTAAGTCCCTGACAAACTGCTGCAGTGACCTTAATCTGCAACTTTTATTCCTGAAATTTAAGAGTTTAATCACATAATATTATGCCTTTTTCTTGGAAAATTACAATATTCTTGTAATATAATTACTTTTCCTCAAAATGACTTTATTCTCTCAAAATGACTTTATTCTCTAATCTAATTTTTGTCTTCGATGTGGCATTAATCGTAGAAAATTATCTGTAGTTACAGCCCTAATTTTAATCACCTTTATCAGGATCTCCAGACAGTCAGACCTAAGCTGCAGCTTGTTCTATTAGTCCCTGATTTTTTTTAGCTAGCTTTCATCAGCTAAGTCCTAATGAAAAAAGGGAGTAGTTTCTCACCCTCTCTTTTTATAGACAATACAGAAACAAAATGTGTCTGTATGTCTGATATTAGCTGTAACATCATTTCAATATTATGTTATAGTAGTCATTAGGGGAGACGGGGGTTGGTTGTCACAGTGCTTGTTACAGCCACACTAGAGGGCGCTGTGACATTATGTTGATGTCAAATGGTTGGCCTGACATCACTTATCAAAAACTCGAAGGTAATAGATTTGGATCGATGTTTAGCTAGCAAGCTACAGCCATGCAGCAGCTAGCTCAAAATGTTTGTCAAGAGGTCAGTTGGGGTTGGTTGTCACTCGTGTGACAGTTCAGAGAGACAGTCAGTATGGCAAACCAACACATTCTCACTCCGACCTCTTCACATATTGATGTTTGGTCATGGACTTTCCACGTCATGTCTTTCATTTAACATTTACATACAGTCTCTTTCAAAATGACTGTGCACACAGACAACACCTACTGAACACCTATTGCCAGGTACACATTACACGATATCAGCCTGCTTATAGCCCGACGCAATGTTGTACAGTGTTGGCTTGGATCGCGATCGTATGCGATAATCCATCATTTTATCTTGTGTAGTATGTCATAGTACTGTAGATGGCAACCGGTGCCCCATCTGGGATGCCTCATGACGTCCCAACAAAAAGTCTAGCATGTTTGGTTTTCTTTTGCGAATCACGATTGCTCCCGTCACAGCCGTCACTTTGACCAGTAGGAGCACAAAGATTTAAAAAAAATTATGGTGTGAAACAGCAGAGGCACTTCGTCAACCCAGTGAGTACTGCCATTAGCATCAGGCTAGCAAACAATGTTATTTCTTAAAAATGGAGAATATAAAGTAAGAAAATTAAAAAATAGTGGCAGAGCTTTTATTCACCACAACTGCAGAGGCTACTAGCTTCATTTGAAACATTACATTATAAACAGGCCATTATTTATTATTCCCTCTTTATTTTTATATTTTTACTTTTTATCTGGTCCAGTTTGCCTTGATAAAGCTAATGCATTGCAGTGTCATTTCCAACGCAACACTTCCTGTGTCTGTTTCAAATTAAAAGCCCCATATAACTTTGGTTGAGAGAATCCCTTCATTTTCTAAACAGGCTTTTATTGTGAAACATTTGCAGGAGCTTGTTGTGGAGGATTCAGTAGCTTGCATGTTTGCATGCAATACTTCAAATGTAACACAGACGCAATTTTTACGTTACCACAATAACATTTCGGCTGGCACATGAACAGCCACAGTGACTGAAATAATAGTGATAATAATAAAAATAGGACAGGAATAACCCGATGACATCACACAGGTTGTGCAAGACGACCAGGGATGATTGGTGTAGTCTGTCATGTCTGTCGGCCAAGTCACAGCACGATTTTATGACTCCACTATTGTGTTATGTGACTGAAGCCCTTTTTAATAGGAATTGTGCAAATTTACATCAAAGCTCAATCAGTCTTCGTTCAGCATTGGCAGTAAAAAAACAAAATCTGGGAGTGCAGCGAAATGCCGCCTGCCTACTTTTAATTATACAGAATGTGCCTTTTTCGGGGCAATGGGGGGCGTGAGCAAGTAACAAAACGTGTAGCTCAGCGTGTGACACCAGTGGGTTGCACATGCAGCATCATCAACAGCTCCTCCCACAAGTCATCAACAGCCCCACCCATGACAGAAGGGCGCCTTGTTCTTTTTAAACCAAAAAGGTTCTGCCAATATGTTTACCCCTACATGGCGGAAAATTGGGCACTTAGGATCAACTCGCCAATCCGGCTCTGTGTGTCTAAACGCTCGCAGCCTGCCAGCAAAATGTCCCAACATTCGCCGAAAATGTGGCAGTGTAAAATGGGCTATAGTGACTGTTGGAACAGACAAAAATGCTGTGTAGTGTAAATCAGGCATAAAGTTTCATTTAATGTAAGAATGGCTGTTGAAAGAAGTTTTGATGATGAGCAATTCACACAAGAGTAAAAAATGTGACAACCGACCCCAGTCTCCCCTACTGTTTATTGCCCCCTTAAATGGAGCAAAGACCCCTTAAATAAGTACTAGTGGGACAGTTTGCCTCCCTCCTGGACAGCCTTGGTGTAAACACTGAAGACATGCAGAGATTACTGAGTCACTGACTGGCACAGAGAGGCAAAAAACAGAGTGGAGGACTCAAAGAAACAGGGAAGGGCAAAAATGGGAATATAAAAAGAAAGAGAAACATGGGAGGTTCAGTGAGAATATAAATTGGTGCTGTGACATGACTTTCTGTCTTGTGTTGGATGTACCACAACCGTATGACTGGGCGTGAGAGTCACATGCCACTACAGACAGGCGGCGGCAGTTTGACACCTCCGCTTCCCCCAGAAAGACGCACACAAGTCGGCTCCTCAACACCTCCGGACCTGCAGGAGACGGACGGCAATGGCGACCGGTGACAGCCAGGCAACTTTTGACTCATGGCTCAGTGAGTAAACAGGGAATAAACAAGAGTTATGTTGTTGCTGTAGCTCCTTGTGTTTGCTTATTTTAACAACGCTAGCTTACCTACCTCATGATGACATTTAGTGCACCAACTGACGCTGCTTTGTTTGCTAACGTAACACTAACGGTCGCCTCGTGTCGTCAGTTGGACTTAATTACCTTAATAACCCGTTATATTTGCGTTTAAATTCTGAATGTGTCGATTTATCATAACTTTTATTAAATAACTTTGGTGTTTTGCACAAAGTTGCAACAGGAAGTTGTTGGTTTGATCGTGCGCGTGCTCGGGGAGCGCTCGAGCAGTTTGTTGTGTGCTGTGCGCGCGCACCGCGATGTTTTTTTTTTATAGTTTCCTCAGTTGCTGGATGAAGTTTTAAGATAATTTGTTTAAGTAAAAATAGCAACAGTGACAAGTCAAAGACCTGCAAATTAAAATATATAGACAAATAAGTATAAACATTTAAAATGTACCTACATTAAAAAAAATGTATTTATGTTTATTTTACGTAGAAAGGGACAGTGCACATTAATTAACATGATCACTTAAGTCACGTAAATGTGACAGATTAAGCCATACAGGCTAATTTTTGACCTGCAGTCCTTGGCTGGCTAATGGTATATGTCTATGTAAGAAAAGATGGCAAGAAGAAAAGAAATGATGGCATGTCCATAGAAGGGCAACTAAGCTCAGAGCAAGCATATATCCATAGACAAAAGCACAAAGCAAGGCACATAAGCAAAAACAGCAAGACATAAACACCATTAATAAAACAATGACATAACCATATGAATTAAAACATTAAGAATGTACAATACAAAAGTGCAACATAAAACACAACATAGACCAAAGAACAAAAGCACACAGCAAAGCGCATAAGCCCCAACATAAAGTAAGAAAACAAAGACATAACCACTGTTTCTGTACAACTATTCTGTTATACTTTAAATACTGGTATTTTAAGTTTCAGTTTGACATCATCCAACATTTTGGTAGGTTTCCCTCAGATGAGTTTAACTTTCATATTCCTTGCATGGATAAAAAAAAACATCATCCTGTTTGCCTTATTTTTACAGATAATGTCAAATGCTTGTTTTCAAGGTGGCTCACCATTACAGATACACGATTATTACTCCAAAACAGCAGCCTTTAATGATAATATCATCATCAGTGCAGCATTAGAATTTTCAGTGAATGTATAACTCCATTCAGCAGATAGTGGAGAAAAGTCTAAAGGTACCCAAAAAAGATTATATTTTAGGATGTTAAAGTGGCACTGAAAGTATACTTCTTTAGAGCTGAGGTGATAAGACGATTAGTCGATTAGTAGGCAGAAAATTAATCAATAACAGTATTAGTAATCAATTAACATTTAAGTCATTAAGTAAGAGAGCAAAACATTTTAGTCTTTGGAAATAGTGAGACAAAACAAGCAATTTGAAAAGGTCTTGGAAATTATGAGAGGGATTTTCCACATTTTATAGAATAAACAATTACACAAAATTGCATACAGTTAGCGCTGCAGCTTTAGATTCTTTTAGTAATCAAGTATTCTACCTTTTATTCTGGCGATTAATCAAGTAATCAGATAAGAAATACTGAATTTATTTATTAGCTTTATTTAAGGGTATTAGTAATATATAAAAGAGAACATGATTTCCTTTTTTGAAACACTTTTATTTGCTTTCATTGCAAATCATTTGTCTGCAGCGTGCACTTTAAAAGGTTGCAACAGATAAAAAGATGCATCTGCAGCTTGAAAAAAAAAAGAAGAAAAAAAACGGACTTCTGACGAACATTTCACAAGCTTAGATTTTTCTAACTAACTGGCATATTACATCCTGGGTATTTAAGAGAAAAAACATTTTTTGAAGTTCAAGAAGCATAAAATTATCTTAATCTTCTTGGTTTTTAAAGGAGAGTTTTCTGAAGTGCAAAAAAATAAAAGAAAAATACAAAAAATAATTTGAAATATAATTTTAAAAAAGTATACATCAACCTAAAACAGAGGTATATTAATAAATAATGCCTTTAATTTGTGCAACTTCACGTTCAGAACTAAGGTATCAAGTCTCAGGCACTGCATACAGTACACAGTATTTGATTGTACAGTAATTACTCTCCACATCCTACAAGTATGCCTAATACAACATAGGTATTGTTTCCTTGTCCCTGTGTAGGTCTGTCTTCCATTTTCACCTCTGTATTAAATTGTATCATTTCTTTGCATGTATTTTATTTAACTGTGGCACAGTATGAACATATTCTTTTGATTTTTAACCCTCTCCTCTGGTGTAATTGTTCCAGACCAAGCCACAGACCCAAACAATCAGGAGGACAGATGGGACTGCATTCAAGGCTTCTACCAGCTCGTCAATCAGGAGACTGATGGGTAAACAGAAAACTGTCTTTTTCTTAATTTAACCTAAGTGATGTGCTTGCACACAGTCCTGCATGGCTTTGCAAATCATTCTTTAGGCTCTGAACCTGAGCTGAAGTTTTCAGACGAGGTCAGTTGCTTCCAGAAGTTCCTTTAATGCAATCGTGGTGTTTGTGAAAGAGTTGCTTCACATCCATGTTGCGATCACCTTCTCAGTAACATCATCTTGTAAGAGGAAGGAGGAACTTTGCAGCACCTTTTTCCCTTTTGACCCTTTTCTTATTTTCTAAACTAATGTGTTATAATGTCTGAATGTAGTGGAATGTAAACTAAAAGCAAACACGGATAGAAAAGTAAAAGTTTTCAGGTTTTTATCCTTGTCTGTCAGCTTTACTGAAGCATGGCGATGGGTGGAAGCTATGTGAACAGTGCGTCTTTTGAATGTTGGCACAACATGTTATAAGGTCATGGTGTAATCAGGCATTTTAATGTGATTTAAATCGTAATTTTCTGCTTTCAGTCCACAGGTAGCTGTTCGCCTTCTTGCCCATAAAATTCAGTCACCACAGGAGAAAGAGGCTCTGCAGGCTCTCACTGTAAGCAATCACGTTCTTCATCTCTAAATATGACACACAGCTGATTTTATTTGTTGTACAATAGTAATATTTATCTGTGAAGTTCCCACAAGCATGCTTTTTATTTAAAAAGGAGTTTTTATCCTTTAACTAGTCAGTTGTTCTTCATTAAGTATTTTCTGTCTAGTTTGGTATGTATGTAGACATACAGTGTACATCTGTTTTTTATTTAATGCAATTTATTTGGGGTTTTACTCTGCATTTATCATTTTAACTCTACAGGTACAGACAGATGTCTTTGTTTAACCCTGGGTAGGGCTGTCCTCGTTTAAGAATTTTCCTAGTTGACCAATAGTCGTCATTTAGGGCCATTAGTCGACTAGTCGCCTGCATGTTTATGATATTAATTTAATTGTTAAATTATATATTTTGGGCGGGGCAACACAATGGTTTGAGTTCAAGGTGTGAGAAAGAATAGTATCAGTAACATTGAACAGAGAAACACAAAACTGTGCTAATGAATCTTCATTAATATAGGCCTATATTTTATCTACAAGTGCACGTCACACACTGAGTGAGCCGCCTGTTAATGACGCTGTTGGCAAAGCAGTAATGATTGTGCTAAGTGGCTAATGGGCATGTAGCTACTTACATGTTTCAGACGATACGTCATGTTTGTTGTCGACAAATGATAGGCAAATGTTTGCCTGCAGAGTTTACTTATCAGCTTGGGTTCGTCCTTCACCTTCTCAAAATGATCCCACACTTTGGATTTCCTGCCTGACATGTTATTAACTAGCCTGTGTAATAACCGCAGGTACCAGTCCTGTAAATTAACGTGACTTCCGTCTGACTGCTGAGCATGACCACTTCCTGTATCTGTCCTTTCAAATCAAATTCACACACGGTCCAGTTATATATGTTTTGATTCATTTTGACAAGGCGCAGTTCCTAATAGAGTTCACTTTTTTTTCCCTGCGACCAATGAAATCTTGCTGACTAATGACTTTTCTGGTCGACTAATGTTTGGTCAATTATTAGGGGACAGCTCTAACCCTGGGAGAGGGCGCTCCTGTGAAGAATATCTGTGACTAACTTTCATCACATGGCCATGACATGACAGTGACACAAGGGATTTAGTCTGTTTTTTGAATCTGCTGTGACAGCACACGCTGCACGAGCTGCAGTCTTTCACTATAAAATGTAATTTAGCAAAGGTCATCAAGGTTCATGTGACTCATGTCATGTGACATTTAAAGGTCATAACCGCAAAACAGACCGTGACAAATCTGTTCTCTCTCCCTTTTCTATTGTGCAAGAGGAGGATACTTTGTTGTTTTCTTTCAGTTTCACTTGTAAAAGCTTCTGTTGGTGATGATTCATTCTGACTTGGTGCTTTCCAGGTTCTCGAGGCATGTATGAACAACTGTGGGAAGAGGTTTCACAAAGAGGCCGCCAAGTTTCGCTTTCTCAATGAGCTTATCAAACTCCTAACACCAAAGGTAACCAGAGAGAGACAGGTCTCCTTAGCTTCCTTTAGGCTCTCTCACTGTAATGTCACTGCTAGGCAACAGCTTGGGTCCATGTTTACTTCCTGTCAGCTGATTCACATACACTGCAAATCATTCCAACGGGAAATACAAAGGGATCCATTGAGAATGTTCTGGTGCATGTACCGACCCCATTTCATTGTTTCATTGCCATCATATTGTCATTACAACAATACTATAGTTAACTTTATAACAATACTTTTTTCTGACATTATGATAACAGGACTTTATTTAACTTTAATATAACAGGACTTTATTAATTATTACAACAGTACTATAACTTTATTATGTAACAGTAGCTACTTATGTAGCTGTATTGCAACTGTAGTTTATTCAGTAGTTTAGTATTTCAGTAGTTTACAGTATTTCAAGGAGATTCTAAAAATATCAAAATATACAGTACAGGCCAAAAGTTTGGACACACCTTCTCATTCAATGCGTTTTCTTTATTTTCATGACTATTTACATTGTAGATTCTCACTGAAGGCATCAAAACTATGAATGAACACATGTGGAGTTATGTACTTAACAAAAAAAGGTGAAATAACTGAAAACATGTTTTATATTCTAGTTTCTTCAAAATAGCCACCCTTTGCTCTGATTACTGCTTTGCACACTCTTGGCATTCTCTCCATGAGCTTCAAGAGGTAGTCACCTGAAATGGTTTTCCAACAGTCTTGAAGGAGTTCCCAGAGGTGTTTAGCACTTGTTGGCCCCTTTGCCTTCACTCTGCGGTCCAGCTCACCCCAAACCATCTCGATTGGGTTCAGGTCCAGTGACTGTGGAGGCCAGGTCATCTGCCATGAAGGCCTGATTGGCGCAGTCTCCTCTTAACAGTTGTTCTAGAGATGGGTCTGCTGCTAGAACTCTGTGTGGCATTCATCTGGTCTCTGATCTGAGCTGCTGTTAACTTGCGATTTCTGAGGCTGGTGACTCGGATGAACTTATCCTCAGAAGCAGAGGTGACTCTTGGTCTTCCTTTCCTGGGTCGGTCCTCATGTGTGCCAGTTTCATTGTAGCGCTTGATGGTTTTTGCAACTCCACTTGGGGACACATTTAAAGTTTTTGCAATTTTCCGGACTGACTGACCTTCATTTCTTAAAGTAATGATGGCCACTTGTTTTTCTTTAGTTAGCTGATTGGTTCTTGCCATAATATGAATTTTAACAGTTGTCCAATAGGGCTGTCGGCTGTGTATTAACCTGACTTCTGCACAACACAACTGATGATCCCAACCCCATTGATAAAGCAAGAACTTCCACTAATTAACCCTGATAAGGCACACCTGTGAAGTGGAAACCATTTCAGGTGACTACCTCTTGAAGCTCATGGAGAGAATGCCAAGAGTGTGCAAAGCAGTAATCAGAGCAAAGGGTGGCTATTTTGAAGAAACTAGAATATAAAACATGTTTTCAGTTATTTCACCTTTTTTTGTTAAGTACATAACTCCACATGTGTTCATTCATAGTTTTGATGCCTTCAGTGAGAATCTACAATGTAAATAGTCATGAAAATAAAGAAAACGCATTGAATGAGAAGGTGTGTCCAAACTTTTGGCCTGTACTGTATATTGTGTACTGCAATACAACCATTATTTATAGGCCATATCACCCAGCCCTAATTCAGATGAGCTCTTGAATAAAAACAGTTTTGAGAACTATTTTAAAAGCCAATAGGAATATAGAAAACAGGTGTTAAGAAAATGAACAAGGCAGCAACCACAATAGCAAAGCTACAGCTCCAAACACCAATTTTAATCAAAATGATTTGTTAAAGAACCAAAACAAATCTTGCAGGCTATCGATCAAACTAAACAATAGTACGTTTACAAATATTCTAAGATAAACTACATAGATATGTGTCATATAAAAACCTATACAGGGCTTAACCAACTAGATACAAATATAATAGATAGATAATGGAACCAAACAGGTAAACATCGAACAATAGGAACATGCTGTAAACGTCAAAAGATGGATGATTATGCTACAACAGCAAATTACAAGACCTGTTAGGCCTATCAAAAACATATGATTAATGATTTTATTAAAAGAGTTACAATAAATATGAACTAAATACAGGAGAGGGGCCGATATCGTCTAAGAATCTGACAGAGAAAACTAGAATTATCCAAGTAAATAGAATCAATATGACATCAAGTGTGGTAGTATTTGAATTTTACAAATAAACTTAATAGAACGAAACTTAATTTACCTAGTGCACAGTCTGATATGAGAACAAGGAAGTTATTTAAATCTGTTGTAACCTCAGAGCTAAAAGAATAATAGACTAAAAGTTGCTTTCTGAAGAACGACTCTGATGTGACTGACCTGGTTAATCTTTTCTGAGCAGTACTTTGGCGCGTGGACTCCACAGAAGGTCAAAGACAGAGTGACGGAGGTCCTCTACGGCTGGACTCTTTGGCTTAAAGAGGAACCCAAGATTCAGGAGGCCTACAGCATGCTCAAGAAACAAGGTCTGAATGCAACATGCACTCTTAAAAGTCCTACGTAGCCGGAGTAAAACTTTAATAACTCACATTTACAGATATTATGTAAGTATAATGTACTGCAATTGTAATGTGATGCGTAGTATTATTTCCTCTCAAAAATAAAACAACCTCACCCTTCATTTTGTTCTTTCAGGTATTGTGAAGAAAGACCCTAAACTAACAGACACAATCATAATGGCACCTCCAGCACAAAGAACCACAGATTCTGTTTTTGACCAGGAGGACAAGGCCAAGGTGAGTGTGTGTTTGTATTTCATATCTGCTAATGTAACATTAACTTTCATCCTGCTAAAAATGTGTTTCCGTATCATCAGCTGTTAGCCAGACTATTGAAAAGCGGCCGTCCTGAAGACCTGGAGACTGCCAACAGGCTCATTAAAAGCACCATCAAAGAGGTGAGGAGTGCTGCTGGTGGGGATGGTCATCTTTGCATGTGTGCATTTGTAATCGTATGAGCTTGAGATTATTTTTTTTTATGTTTGTGTGTGTGTGTGTGTGTGTGTGTGTGTGTGTTTGTGTTTCAGGAGCAAGAGAAGGCAGAGAAATTGTCAAAGCGTGAATCTACTCTGCAGGAGGTGGAGAGCAGCACCAAACAGCTCAGAGAGCTGCTGGACCAGCACACGATCACTGGAACCTTGCTACAGCCGAGTGATGACGAGAAGGTACGTTGGACATGATACAGACAGACAGACAATCAACCAGCTGTCCAGGACTGACTACTAAAAGCTAGATGGTTTTTGGGATCCCTGTGGACGTCCTGTGATTGTTGGTCCTCTATCACCCTCTACTGGCTAATGTGTTTCTCTCAGCGTCCAACTTCTCTGTGACAATATAAAACCAGCAGGTCAAAAGTCGCAATTAGAACCTGCTTTACATTGAAATGTAGTATATGCTGTTATATTTAATCTAAATGTCTTAAAATCTTCCACTGTGTCACATAATTTAGCCTAGATTTGACCTTCAGTAGGTGTCTTTCTATGTACACACATGGATTTCAACTGCAACTGCATATTTACTGGTTGGTGAAGGCATACAACTGTGAGGCGATTCTAGTTTATCTAGATTATTCAACAGTAGAATATTGCTGGTCACACTTAGGGTAAAATCATTTTTAATAGAAATATTATTGAGTAGACAGTCAGGATGGCCGAGCGGTCTAAGGCGCTGCGTTCAGGTCGCAGTCTCCCCTGGAGGCGTGGGTTCGAATCCCACTTCTGACAGTTGCTGTTTTTCACTGGAGGCAGAGCTTGTAAGACGATAGTGGGGAAGTAAAGTGAGCGTTTATGTCACTTCAAACTAATGATGGGATTTCTCGTTCACTTGTGAGAGCCGGTTCTTTGGCTCTCGTTCACTTTGAAGAGCTGGTTCAAAGATGCAGTTCGTTTATCTTTTTTTTTGGGGGGGGGGGGGGGGGGTATTGCTGTGTGTGTGTGTGGAGGGCGGGTGTTAGTGGGTTCAACGAAGAATCGCATTGCTGATTTATCACATCACATGATCTGGATATTGTAACGTGGACCCAGAATAGACCCTGCACATATAAAGTTTGGTGTAGCCATAGCAACGCCCTTTATAAACAACAAGCCTGCAAATACAAGCAAGTGCTGATAGTGGGTTAGCTTCCTACCTTTCATTTCTAACCAAGGGGGGTCATCAACACAACGTGAATTAGGAACTGGCTCGTTCACTCTAAAGAGCCAGTTCACTCGTTCACTTCAAAGAGCCGGTTCAAAGACTCGGCTCGTTCGCGAACGTCACATCACTACTTCAAACCAAAATGTTCCTTGTACTGGAGCAGCAGCCTCCACGGTGCTCCTGATAACCTCCCCATCAGTGCTGTTGTTATATGCCCTCATGTTTAGTGATATGATGCCAGAAACAACATTACAGTCAATGCGGAGGTCTCATAGTGTAATGGTTAGCACTCTGGACTCTGAATCCAGTATGACAGCTGTTTTGTCAGTGAATCTTGTGAGTTGTAATGGAGCCAAACTGTGTGCTGTTACCTTTGTTTAATGTTGCTGTTGTCGGAAAAATTGCTAGTTGCTAGGCTAACTTAGACAATGTAAAATGCAGTAGGCTTAATAATAATAATAATAATAAAACATTTTATTTGTAACGCACTATATTTAACGAAAAATCTCAAAGTGCTACAACAGCAAGAAAAGAAAAAATAAGTTAAAACGAGTTAAAAGCAGTTATCAAAGTAACACGAGCAAAAATTACAGATTAAAAGATTTTTTAAAAAGGTATGTTTTAAGGCCCTTTTTAAAACAATCAGTTGACTGTGGAACCCTCAGGTGTTCTGGGAGGGTGTTCCACAGTCGAGGAGCAGAAGGCTCGATCTCCCAGTACGCGGCTCTTAGTCCTTGGGGGGAGAAGTCTGTGGCTGTTGGTGGAGCGGAGTGAGCGTGCTGAGGTCTGGGGGGTGAGGAGTTCTTTGAGGTACTGGGGGGCGTTGCCATGGATGCACTGGAATTAGCTTGTGCTAATAACGTTAGCATGTTATATTTGTTTGGAAAACGTGTTTAGTATAAGACAGTTGTTTTGTCGGTGAAGTTGTAATGGAGCCAAACTGTGTGCTGTTACCTTTGTTAAATGTTGCTGTTGTCCCTGGTTTTATATGAGAAGAGGGAAAGATCGCTAGTAGCTAACAGCTAATTTATACAATGTAAAGTGCCATAGGCTTGTGCTAATAATGTTAGCATGTTGTATTTGTGGGGTAAATGTGTCTAGATAAAGACAAGTGTTTGTCTGTGAATGCTGCGAGTTACAGTGAAGCTGATTTATGTACTTGTTTTTCAAATTGTCTCTATTAAGCCATGTTTAATGTGTGTTTAGTGTGTGTTTTGAATCAACAAAACTTTATAGCACTTCACAGAAACCTCCGCTGCCCACTAGTGTTGTGGAGATGTAACTGCAGAGTGACTCTCAGACATACCACCTAATTATGAAGAGAAAACTCTTTTTTAACTATAGTTTTAACTAGATGGTGAATTAGACAACAAATAAAATCTAAAACTTGGGAGTGATACACTCGAGTTTAATCTCGTATCTGTCTTCACTCGAGTATGAAGGGGGGGTCGGACGGTAAAAGACTTATGCGAAGGCTGCACTCGTGTATCCTTGCTTCCCTCTCCTCTGAAAGCCTCCTCTCTCCTCGACTCCTCCAAGCCAGGTAATGAATTGAGTCGTCCTTCAAGATGGCTGATGTCAATCAGTTTCTAGGTCGAGTGATCGAGGATAGAGGACGGAGGAGGGATATTGGGATGAACCCTTTGATTCCCTTTTAGTGCAGCTGTTCTCGTTCTCATAAAGAGAACATCACTGCTAAACATAGAGAGAGATTGTGTTTAGTGGGTGCTGTCTGCATCATGAGTACTTTTTCAACATATGTTCACAAAACCAGAGCTCAAAGTTTAAGACATGAAAGTGATGTTTGGTCCCAACAAACCTCCAGATATTTTCTCAGAGGAGGAGGACGTCTTTGTGTGGAGGTATAATGCAACATTTTATCCATTCCCGCTGCAGGCCCTGTTCGAGCGCTGCGATCGGCTGAGGCCCAGCTTGTTCCGCCTGGCCAGTGACACGATGGACGACGACGCAGCTCTGGCACAGATCCTGGCAGCTAACGACGAGCTTACATTTGTAGTAAACACCTACAAAGACCGGGTGGGGAAGACAGAGTGTAACGGTGGAAGAGAGAGAAGCAGGAGTGAGGAAGAAATGGAGGGTCAAAACAACGGTAGGCTTTATTTTGTACACTTTAGCATCCCTGTGGGAAACACCTTGACCTTGTGTTTGGCTCTGCTCTGCTCTGCTTGTGTTTGATCCTGTTTTTACTTGCTCCTCCAGCTCCAAAAAGTCCCAGAGAGATTAAAAGCTACCACCTCATCGACCTGTCAGCACTGGACTCTCCACAGACACAGAGAAAAGCCGATTCACCACTGTTCTTTGAATCCTCTCTCCTGGAAAGTACCTTCCACTCAGTGGCTGAACAGGACTTAAATGAATTAGGTAGGCCTTCTTTGGTACCTATTTTCTAGTTTGCTCTCTGTGAGAGTGATGAACATGTTTCCTAATGATGCTCTGTCCTGTGATTACAGAGTTTGATAACCTGGTCTCAAAACAGACTCAAGAGACGTCGAGGTCGTATTATGAAGATCTGCTGCAGGTGAGGCTTGGATATGAAGTCAAAGATAAAGGTTTAAAGGTGATTTTATTTGGAAGATTGTTTAACACACACTATTCTCTTGTTAGCTTAATGGAGAGTTTCAGACAAGGAACGCTGAGCAGAATGGAGGGAGAGACTTTGTGTTGAGAGCCCGTGGATGTGGGGGCAGCAGCACTACATCTAATGGGACTAACATCTGGTAAGGATGGAGAAAAGAAAGAAAACACTGTAAACAGTGCTTTGAATGTGGCATATAGGACTGTAACTGACTCCGAACTTAGTCAGTCGAATCAGATTTGGATTTTCAACATAAAGATTCAACTATTTGGTTCTTTTTCTTCATATAGACTACAAAGCAACACTTTGTTGACCAGCTAGTTTTTTGAACAGGGTTTTACAGGATGGTCAGGGTGACAGAGACGTTCACATTATACAGAAACAAGCCAAGTTAACCCCCCTAGGTAATGCACGCTAACTATGCTAAGGACAGATCAGAAATGTGCAACGTTTTTTGCAGATTCTAAATATAAGCCAGGAACTGTATCGTATGAAGCTGCCGTGAGCTGTAAATTCACCACTTCTAAGCAGAAGGCAGAAGATAAGGTTATCACAGAGCCTCATGTCTTCTAGATAGCTGCCTCCATCTCACCCAGACTCACTCTGGGTCTGGGTCCACAACTGCTTGGAGATAGTGATAGATAGTGATCATACTCTGGGTGTAAATGCTTACAAATACATTATTTACCATGAAATAAATCGTTAAGATAAATAAATTTGAAAACAGAAGGACTGCCCAAAGAACATTTAAATGAAAATCAGTCTGTGACGGAGCCACACTGGTAATATCAGCCTGCTGTTGTGTGTTGGTGGATATGCAAAAAGAAATTGCAGCACAGTAAACTGTAACGAAATTGCCAGCTGTTTTCTGTATCTATGACACATTTTTGTTCAGTTTAGTTTAGTTTTTTGTTGATGTTTATTTAAAATTGTTGCATTTTCAAAAGGTTTACTGTTAAAGATTTACTGCTATCTTAAGTTTATTGTTTAACTGTAGAAACTCATATGTATCCTTATCATTTTACTTTTGTTTGTGTTGTGCGCTTATGTAAAAAAAAAAAAAAGAAGCATGTATTTGTTATAGTTTTATTCCTGAAGTTATTTTTAAGTGTTGCTTTCAGCCTTAAAAATCCATCATCAGCGAGGCTCAATGTGTTGTTGCATTATGGGAACACACAAGACATTTTTGCAATATATTCAACAGATTTTGTATAAAACATTTTATTGCGCATTATGACTGTATGGAGATGTTCTCTGGCTTCATTTACTGCTCTTATTATTTCTAAAATTACTGATTTTCTTTGATAAGGTCGCTCCCTCACAATCAGCGCTTCACAGAGTCAGGATCACTGTCCGAAGCACACAAACAGCTCGGTGATGTGTCGGGATCTCCAGTTAAACTAGAGGAGAGCTCGTGTCCCCCGCAACTACTGAAGAACATCTTTGTTCCAGTGGAGACCATCAAATCCAGTATGTTTATGTGGAGAAACAGCTCGTTAACTTTCTGTTTCATAGTACTGTACTACTCTCGCCTACTGGATATCCTGCCTTAATGTCTGTTGTTGTCTAATTTGTGGAAGGTAACCTTGAGCCGATCACTTTATACGATCAGGGCGGCGTCCACGTTTCCCTCCATTTTGCAAAAGATTCTCCGCCGGGTCATCCAGGCATCGCTGTGGTCGTCATCTCCACAGTTAACACATCTGCCCTTGGTGTGAAAGACTTCCTGTTTCAAGCTGCTGTTCCAAAGGTAAAAAACTCTGAAAACATTATCCGAATCTCTTGTCGAAATAATATACATGGGTTTTAAAATAAAGTGTGAGTGAGTGTCACGTCTACCAGACAGTGGTAGAGATTTAACTCATTCTCATGCTGCACTGTCGATGTGTGACTGACCTGTTTTCCATTAATGAGTTAAATATTTAGTTAATAGTCAGTTTATTACCTCTCCTGCAGACCATGTCAGTGAAACTTCAGCCTGCCTCGGGGACACACCTACCTCCTTACAACCCTCTCCTGCCTCCACCTGCCATCTCCCAGGTCATCCTGTTGGCTAACCCTCAGAAAGTGAGTTTGTCGATTTACATTCATCAGTCACATTTCAACTTCACACAGCTATAACTTCCACCTCAAATTGTGGCACATAAAACTGAAGAACTTCAGCACTTGTATATAGGAATTATTACAAGTGCTGAAGTTCTTCAGTGTGTTTTTGTTTATTTATTTGGCATTATTGTGGTGCAGTGTTGTTTTACTGTCATTGATTTAGTGTAGAGTTGTACTGATACCAGTATCGGAAATGCCTCTGATACTGCCTAAAACGCGGTATCGGATATTGGCGAGTACAGCCTATGACCAATCTGATACCACGTAATGCCTCACGTCATTACGCAGGCAAATGAAACGGAAAAGGAGCGGAGTTTAAAAAGCATTCTACTGTAGCCTTTAAAATGTCTTTTTTACCAAATTGTGTGGCTGCACTTTAACCCGTGTCTTGATCTGTGTCAACACTGGATAATAATAATTAATAAAAAGTTTTATGGCATTCATTCTACTATTATGTATTTATTTCTTAATATTTTACATTTTTAGGAGTTGAGACATACAACAATTCATATCCCATCCATTTTTATTTTACGCGCTGGAATCAGATCGGTACTCTGTATTGGCAGATACCTAAGGTTCAGGGATCGGAATCAGTATCTGGAAGGAAAAAGTGGTATCGGTACATCTCTAGTTTAGTGTCAGTGGTGGAAGAAGTACTCAGATCTTTTACTTGTAATTACATATTTCTACAGTGTGGGTCTCATCCTTATATAAAACCTGAATAAGATGCTATAAGTTGACTATTTCGGCATATTTACGTGTTTTACTTCCTGGTCTTTACACATTAATTAATAGAATTTAACTGTAATGTTATGTAGTCGAGAATATTCTTACAGTATGTATGATCTGAAAGATGCAGATTAACAGTTTGTTCTGAATTGGATGTTAAAATACTTTACAAAATAGTGTTAACTGCCAAGTAAATGGACTTTGACCTTTGCATAAATTACTGATACAATGTGCGTCTGACATCCTTCTTTCTTTCCCTCAGCGAAACATGCGTTTACGCTTCAAGTTGACACTGACACACGGGGACCGACAGCTGAATGAGAACGGAGAGATTGACAACTTCCCTGACTGGACGTCTTTGATCGGCCACTAAAAAAACTTCAGAGACTTGGACTAAAAAACAAAAAGCTCTGGACCTGGAATCTAGAATCTGAAAGCTGAGCGAGCAAAGTGAAGAAAAACTGCGACCACGTCTGCAGTCGATCCTCGTGGTAAACAAACACAACAAATATCCAGTCTGTGTTTTCAGAAAAGTTTTATGAATAAAACACCAATAGCAACTGTGATGCATCAATGACAAAATAATATCAGAAAGATTTATTTCACTCTAAAAGGGTGAGTAAGACTCTTATTTCTCACATAAAAATGTTTTGGGTGGGTTCGGTACATCCCTGATTGTACCTGTTCAGGTATTCACTGTTCTGCTGTTTGTGCCGCTGCTGCTGTCGTTAAAGCCCAGTGTGATAATACAGTGTGTTTACTGTGTATGCTGACAAGTAGCTGGTGTCTACGTATGAAAAGTGCTATTTATTTGCTGTTGTGCATTTGTGATGTTCAAAGTTCCCAAACAGCCTTAAGATGTAAAATGCTGTGCTTTTGTTTTGTATTTATTTTAAGAATGGGTTGAGAATGTGTGAGAGACCTTCATAGATTTGTATATGTGGGCGATTTGCTGCACTTGCTTTTTTGCTTTAGGTTGTAAAAGTAAAGACTTAAAGATTTAAAAACCGAAAACAGGAACAGATGAAGAACAGATCTTCGAGTGTTATCAAGTGATAATATTGCTGGTGCTGCAGTTGCAAAGACAACTGAATTGTGTTCTTTCCTCAGAGCATAGCAACTACCAGTTTCCACGCCACTTCCAAACCACTTCGGTTGTTCCACTGTACGTTGTCTCCTCCACTGTGATTAGTCACTCCGAGGGACTTAAATTTCTACTCTTAAGTTACTGGGGATAGCTGCTGATAGCTACTAGGGGAAACAAAGGCACTGTCCTCTTCCTGTTTTCACAATGGCTGATGCATTTTTTTTGTGCCATAAATCGAGCCCTCATTTTCCTGGGACAGAACTGCATAGCGAAGCTGAGGTTTATAGGGAACCAATCTAAACGCAGATGGTGTCATTACCCTACAGCCATTACACTGTGACTTGTCTGTGTTAACTTTATGCTCAAGCAAGTCAAGAAATTTCTCAACCTGACAGCATGTGGCAGTGGCAGCATAAAGAAATGTGCTACAAGTACATGAAACAAGCAAAGAAAGACAAGCTGCGACTTCAGCACAGTATGAATTTGTGTAGGACAGAAAAACCTGATGAATTACATCAACTACACAATAAAGATGTATAAAAATAATGTTAGTTTTAACACTGTGAAGACACCGGCTTCACCTATGCCTTTTAGTGTTTAATCATTAGATTCAGTTTGCCAAATAATTTCCTGTTTGAAGGTTTACATGTCATTATGTACTGGGAGGAAGTGGGGGCTCTTATTGTGAAGAAACAGGAAGTGTTGTTGCGCACAAAGCATGTTTTGAACACGACAATTGCCGATGAAGTAAGTGTTGAAAAACTTCAACAGGTTGTCTTTGTTGATTGTGTTTTTTCACAATAAGAGCCCCTACTTCCTCCCAGTGCACGATGCCAACACTCAAACAGGAAGTTACATGACCACTTGAGTCTAATGCAACCTGTCTGGAAATATTTTAAGCATATTAACATATACATGATGTCTGTTTTGTCAAAGTGGTAAAGCTCATTTCTTTGTCTGCTTGTGTTTTCTAAGTTTCAGTGTCTTGATCTCTCTCAGCCGCTGTAGTTTTCAGACTGTCGTTAACTCTTTCTTACTCACTGTGAAGTTCATATGAACAGTGTTCTCTGATCAGCTGTTTTATAGGGTGAAGCTTTATAACTTGAGCCCAGAGCAACAGATTTACAAAAGTTCAAAACAGGCTGCATAGTCAGTTTGTCAGAATATTTTTGGATGACTTAAGGTCAGTGTGAATGTTTCTTTGAATGCTTGTCTATTGTCTGTCAGTCCAACTGTGTGCTGCTCTGCTGCATGTCATCAATAAATACTGTGTGTAACAGTGTACAACAAAGCTCAAATTCTGTCTCACCAAATCAGGGAAAAAGGTCTTTATGTCAGTATGATCACCCTGAAATCTGATTGTACATCATTATATTATTACAGTTCCATCTGAGGTGACACTGTTACAGTCTGACATGTTGTTTAAGTGCTGAATAAAAGAGAGAAACTCTTCAGACACAACCAAGATTCCTGAGATATTTACTATACATACATATATATATATATATATATATATATATATATATATGTAGTTAAAAGTGTCCATCAAAACTTTCCTAAAGCCAACATGAGTTATTTAAATTGCTTGTTTAGCAAATATTCACATGAACTTGGCCTGACTACATAGTCCAACAGCTAATGATGTGTTAATATGTTAGATAAACCTTGTTGCTGATCGCCTGCTCTGACAAGGTAAAGTGAAAGTTAGCTTCTTCTTCTGGCCTCTCCTCTGGTTTCACCGTATGTGACACATAAAACCCTGACTGTCTGAATCCGTGATTTTGAGACTTTTAATGGTACCCTGCACTTCCAAGGTGAAATTGCTCAGCCATGGCGTTGACCGCTTACTTTACTCATGATGCATATTAAAAAAACAAAAAAAAAAACACCATATGGACATGTTAAAGTGATACTTTGCTGATTTTCAACCAGCTCTGTGTCACTGCAGTGTGTGCACTGTGTGCAGATGAATGGGGTTTGTCTTCCCCCACGTGCCCACAATGCCAGGCCTGTGCTGTGAGCAAAAATGAGGCATGTCAGCCAGATGACATGGCGTGTTCCACATAATCCAGTGGATTTTGGCTGATGGGTAAGCGGGGAGATCTGTGAGCTGGTACAAGGAGCACCTTAACACCATTTATCTGCACACACTGCCTGCTCTGCGCTGACACAGAGCTGGGAAGTTGGCAAATTTCCCTTTAACAAGGTTAAAAACTCACTGTCATTGGTGGAGGGCCCTCAAACATATTGAGTTTTATATCACAGAAGCCAAAAATACAATTTAAAATTTATAGCTGGAACCTCAGAATTTTTTCTATCATTTAAGAAAACTACTTTAACAATTACTTGATTATCAGGTCTAGTTTTTTTTTTTTTATTGGTTTGTAATTTACTAATCAAGTTTTGGAAGTTTCCTTGAGATGCTATGTATTTTGGTACTAACCAAAGAAAAATAGGAGTTTTCTTGAATTAAGTGCTCCAATATTGATACTTTATACTACTGTACACTCACCTGTAGACATATTTCACATATCTGCATGTCCAATCTCTGGTCCCTAGACTGGGTATGAAATTACGTGTCTTTCTCCAGTAGTGCTGCAACTGATGACTATTTTAAGTATCGATTAATTTATCAATATTTTTAATAAATCCATCCCTGACTGAGTCTATACAACATCCAAACTGACAGTTCTGCTCTGGTTATCAAAGTTGTTGCCAATTAATTTTCTGTCGTTTGATGAATCAACTAATTATTATTATATTATAAATATTATAAATATCAAAACATGTAGAAACTGATTAGAAAATGACAGACCCATAAAATGGAGTTTTAACAAAAGTATTACCTCTCTTGGTGGATGAATCCTGTCCAGTGTTACTCAGGAGAGAAAGACGTGAGACACCTGCAACTCACAACACCGATCCTTCAACTTCATTGATCATATTTATTATATGACATCAGCAGATTAAAATACATGTTTATTATGTACATATATGTAACAGGGGTGTTAGATAAAGTGCCAAATACCATTTTTACAAAAAACAAAGAAAGAAAAAAAGGGATTTGTGGAAGACCATCACACCCGTTACCCTGGTCCCACAGTTCATTGCTTCACGGTCGAGTCAGCCACCTTGTTTGGAGGAAGGCTGAACTGCTCAGTGCTGGTCGTGTATCAGTTTGGCACGATTCACCCGGGATTCAAACTCACAGTCTGGGAGTGGTGAAACTGTCGTGATGGGATGAATACTGGGTGTTTTTTTTTGTTTTGTTTTGTTTTTTTGTTAACATGAACTGACATCGACACGTACAACAGGTCAGCCCCTTGAGCTGGACTGCAGATGTTTCCACCTTTGACAAAACGGTCCAGATACTATTCAGGAATCCAGCATCGTTGCTTTAAGGTTAGCATGTGAGGAGGTTAAACTGTTCCAGAGCCCGAAGGTGTTCTCAGCATCCTGTTCACAAGCGGGAAGTTTTTGTAGTAAATATAAGACAACAGACACTTTCCAGACTTATTTTTTTCTCTTTTCTGACAAACAGAGGAAGTTGACATTCTTTTAACAGTTGTTGGTCAGTGTGTGTGTGTGTGTGTGTATATCGTCCTCATAAACGAGACAGAGATGATGAGTAGTAGTCCATGAGATCGGGAGAACAGGCACACACTTATTTGCATGTACGCATTTCAGTTTTTGTTTTTTTTAAGATTTTCAGGAGCTACAAAAGGTTGATAAAACAGGTTCACCCCTTTTCTTATCCCCCGTTTTATTCCCTACGGCAGTGATGGATGTACAGATACTCAGTGATGAAGACGTGAAGTCGTTCTATCACTATCAGTTGATCAGGACGCTGCAACAATCTGGCTGTTCGGGAAGGCGTATGCTTCGGCAGAGGTTTTGTATTTGTGTCCATTGCTGTCCGTCTGCGAGCTGTGGAGTTTGAGACGTCTGTAGTTGAGTCAGAGCATGTTAACCCTGGAGAGAAGTGCATCTTCGGCTCTTCATCCTCCTCCGTGACAGTCTTACTGCTAACTGCTGAAGCCTCTCTGGCTCCATTTACGTACCTCTGTATCTCTCTGAGACCTTTCCTCGCTGACCCTGTTTATGTTTTTACACCCAACTAACTTTCCTCTTCTTCCTCTACCTCTTCTTCTCCAACTTCATCCTCAACTGGCACCTCCTCCTCTGCCTCTGCTTCTGCCAACTCTCCATTCTCCTCTTCCCCATTGACATCTTCTGTTCCTTCAACCTCCTCTTCAGCTTTGTCCTCCGTTTCTGCCTCCTCTGTCTCGCCCTCCTCTTCCGCTACATTTTCTTCCACCTCTCCTGCCTCCTCTTCTTCTTTCTCTTCCTCCTCTTTTCCCTCTACTTCTGCCTCTTCATTTTCCACTTCCTCTTCCCCCTCACCTCCTCCTTCTCCTTCTAATTCCCCTTCTGTCTCTTCCTTTTCCAAATTTTCCTCGCTTTCTCCTTCCTCCGTCTTCGCCTCCTCGTTTTCTGCACCATCCTCCCCTTCCTCTTTCTGTTCTCCTTCTTCCTGAGTCTCTCCCTCCTCTTCTTTAGTCTCCTCGTCCTCCGCTGCATCTGTCTGCCCTCCTCCGTCGTCTTCTTCTGCCTGATCCTTTCCATGTTCCTCCACCTCCTCTGTGTTCTCCTCCACCTCCTCTGTGTTCTCCTTCACCTCCTCTTCTTCTTCTACCTCTTTTCCTCCAGTCCCTTCCTCCTCCTCCTCCTCCTCATCCTCACCTTGGACTCCATTGTGTTCACTGTTGTGATTCTCCTCATCTTCTTTCACAGTCTCTCCTTCGCCCTGTGTTCGGTGTGCATCGTCGTCGTCGTCGTCGTCGTCGTCATCGTCGTCGTCGTGGATATCTTTCCGGCCACTCCTCCCACCGTTGTTCCTCAGGTGTATGTGGTTGTGGTTGTTGTGCTCCAGGTCCTCCAGGGTGAGTTCGAACTGGAAGCGGTCATGCTGCAGGTGTCTGTCCGGGGGAGGTGAGGGAGACTGGGGCATGGTGTTCAGGTACCACTCCCTGTTCTCCTCCAGCGTGTCCAACAGCTCCTGGGCGTCTGGATGCACAAGGTCAGCCCACGTCTCCCACAGCGGGTGGACGATGTAGTCGATGAAACCCACCTGGAAAAGAAACAGAGTCAGACCTGAGGCCAAGATGATAGTTTTGGAAAATACACTAATTCACTGTCTTGCTGAGAGTTAGATGAGAAGGTTGATGCGCTTCTCATTGACATGAGAGTGGTATCAATCTTCTGATTTTTGGCAAGAAAGCAAAAAAGCATCTTTTCAAGAACAAACTATTCCTTCAAAGAAAAGAGAAATACAACCAGAAAATGTCACTGTTAAACATCATGGACATCAAAAAGAGGCATATGACTGAAGCCACTGCCAGCTGGATATCATACACACATCCAAAATATCATAACAAAAGATTTAATGACTATCAGTGTTTATCTTAAGTTATTCCAGGCTTCATTACGCTGCCAGATTTATCAAAAGAACCCAAGTTTGTCTCTTCCTGCCACAATGCAACACAAAGTAGAAACATGGACTTTTAGCCATGATAACAGCGTGGCTCTACGGATGGTTTGGCACTTTGTCAGTCAGCCGACCTCTTTGGTCCAGACTGAAATTTCTCAATAACTAGTGGATTTACGGCCATGAAATTTAGTACAGATATTCATGTCCCTCTGAGAGTGAACTGTAATGATTTGGTGATCCTTTAACTTATATTGTGGCGCCAACAATAAGTCAAATATTTATTTGTCCAATATTTTGTTTTATGACTAGTTAAGCTTAAACAAATGATTAAGAACACTTTTTATATATTCATATGTGAAATATGATTAATTTACAGTGATGAGAGAGATGGAGCGTTACCTGACTCTTCTCCACTGAGGCAGTGTGTTTGTCACACATGGCACTGATCTCCATCCCTCTCTCTCGCTCCTTGTCACCCTGTCGGAAGAACTCCTCCATGATCCTCTCTGTCCACTGTCTGTATAACGGCAGCGGCTTGGTGGGGTTGCTCAGGTCTGCGCAGTGCACCATGTTCCTCAGCACCTACACACCGTACGTCATACAGTATAAATATATTCACACAGTACAATAGATGTGTGCAGATTTTACACAAGCCATTCTTTCACTAGTGGTCTGTGTGAGTAGACGAGTTACCTGTATCCTTTCTGTGTAGTGGTCCAGCAGCAGCACACCAGAGCTGGTTACCTTCTTGGTCTCTACCATTGTCTTCAGGTCAGCCAGTAGGGTCATGTGTTTGGACATGTCCGTTGCCAACACCTGCAGACAGAGACAGGAAGACAAAAGTGAAGAGAAGCACAACGATTCAACCTCACCTCTGTCCTCTGTCAAATAAAACCAGACCAAAACCAAAGATAGTGTGGAAAAACAGGCTGTAAGTGATGTGATGATTGTAAGACTGGATCTAGGATGTTAGTTTAAAAGAGGAACTACCAGACAAGGAGCAATTTTTAAAGGTCTCATGTTTAGTGTTTAGTGACATCTAGCAGTGAGGTTACAGATTGTAAACAATTAAAACTTCTCCTGTGTGCAAAGTGTGTAGAAGAACTACTGTGGCTGATGGGAAAATGTGAACGGCTCTATCTAGAGCCAGTGTTTGGTTGTCTGTTCTGGGCTACTGTAGAACAACTTGGCAGACTCTGTGGAAGAGGCCCTGCTCCGTAACATATCACAGCAGTTCTTAGCTTTCAAGTGACTATGAAAATGAATATTATATTCCATTTTTGCCAAAACAGCCCCCTACATTCTACACACTGGACGTTAAGGGTACTGAAACACCAAGGCACCTTAATAGTGAAGAGGGAGCTGAGCCGGAAGGTGAAGCTTTCGATTTACTGGTCCATCTACGTCCCAACTCTCACCTATGGTCATGAGCTCTGGGTAGTGACTGAAATAATGAGGTTGCGGATACAAATGGCCAGAATGAGTTTCCTCCGTGGGGTGGCTGGGCTCAGCCAGAGATAGTATAAGGAGCTCGGACATCCGGAGGGAGCTCAGAGTAGAGCCACTGCTCCTTCGCATCCAAACGGGTCAGTTGAGGTGATTCGGGCATCTGATCAGGATGCCTCCTGGGCGCCTCCTGCTGGATGTGTTTCGAGCATGTCCCACCGGTAGGAGGCCCCGGAACAAACTGGAGGGATTATACATCTCATCAGGGTCCCCCAGGACGAGCTGGAAAGCGTTGCTGGGGAGAGGGATGTCTGGAGCGCTTTGCTTGACCTGCTGCCCCCGTGACCGGCCCCAGATAAGCGGATGAAAATGGATGGATGGATGGATGGACAAGTGCATAACATATGTGCTTGTTGACTATTGGCTGTAGTCTTTGCGCTGTGTTCAGATGCACCTTTTTGAATGAGACACAAGAAACGTGAAGCAACGCAACACCACCTTCGTTGCCACTAGTTCTTTGATGTCAGTTTGGTGTGTCTGGGCCTTAAAACATGAAATAGTATTTTTTATATTGCAGTTTTGGAGGAAATCCAGTTCTTAAATGGACTGAGAATCCAAAAGGCATTTAATTAAAAAGCTGCTAACCAGATTAAATTAAATTAAATAAATTGGATTTTGCTTCAACTTAAATTTACCTAATTGAGATTAAAAAGTTACAGACAAACAGTATAAAAAGATGAAAAATAATATATTGTTATGAACAAGATCAGAGCTAAACAAATTGAACCTGTACCGTCTAAAATAAAAAAACTGCTAGTAACAATCAAAAACAAGAATTCTAGAAAACCTCACATCACAACATAAAGTGGCACCTTGAATACAACATGAGCGCTGTCTCAAACCATAAATAGCAAATAAATAAGACAATTCTGAAACTATAATGATAAATGAGATTCTCAGAATTGGCAGCTAAAAGAAAGGAGCAGCCAACCCTAAGTAACCAAAACAGAAGAAGTTATTTTTCTATAATTTAACTAGTACAGTGTGAGATATGGTAGAAAATCTCCTGACCATATCGATGACAAGCTTGCGAAGGCTCTGGCGCTGTCGCTTGGTGAGGTTCTGGAAGATGTCACAGTTTTCCTGGTGCAGAAGCTTGAAGCCCACAGCGAGGTGGTGGTTCTCCAAAACTGACTCATCATTATACATGAGGGCCAGCTCTGAGTCTGAGCACAGTGGAGAGGGGTGGAGGAGGAAGAGGAGGAGGAGGAGGAGGAGGAGGAGGAGGTGTGGACACAGTTTGTGCAAATATCTTTTATTAGACATATTTGTCTGTGTGTGTGTGTGTGTGGGTGAGGGTGTGTCTGTGCACTTACTGGTGTTGATGAGGAACTGATTGGAAACTCCAGGATGGTCGACATCGTGGATAGCTGCAGCGAACAGAGCAGCGAGGATCTCCAGGTCAGTGAAGACGGCCTGAAAGGGACAAGAAGGTTTCCATCTATTATTTTAAGTTTTTATCCAAAGAAAATCTGTGTATTTGTCTGTTTATTTAGAATGTTAAGAATATGTATGGGTAAAAACATTATTTTAAAAACATAATTTCCAATACAATCACTCTGTAGTTGAAACATGTTTTTGCTTTCTTAGAAGGACTTTCATACAGAATCAGCAGCTCATTAGGATTGAAATTATGGTGGTCAGCTTTTCCTTTTCACTGCAATCCAACAACTTTTGGGTCCATGGTGACATTGAATCCAGGTGAAAATCTGTTTAAACTCATCTCATTCTTTGGAGAAAAAAAATCTCTGAAAATGTTGAGTCTTAAAAAAGGCTTAGGAAAAAAGGTTGAATTGAAGGTTTGTGCATGAACTAAAAGTTCTGTGTTTATGAACAGAGTCATTGAATGTCAGTCAGTTAATTATTACACTTTGACCTTGGAGTCCACCCTGCACTCAAACTCTCTCTGTCACTACAACCTGACATTGGCTGAGGGGACATACAGTAACATAACGTAATGTACAGTTTGATATAATCATTTTTCACAAAGTCAAATGCTGTCGTTACAGTGTCACAAATGAATGACCTCAACCTCAGGTAAAGGAGTTGAGTTTTGACAATATACAATAATGTGTTGTTATAGATATTATAATATAACACATATAATGTATTATATTAATCTTCTGGATTGTTATCATCTCTGTGCATTGCACACATTCTGTGTGCTTTAACCTGTTTCACAGTCAGTGGTTGGTACTTTGCACATTCCTGCACTAAACTGCTCAGTTCTTTCATTTTAAAACAGATATACTGCACATCTTTTTACAGTATTTTTATTATACATTTTTGTATTATATGTTTATGTTTGTTTTCTTTTGCAGCAGTTTTTATTTTTATTTATTATGATTATTATTTTATTATTAATTATTTTTCTTATTTGGCAATAAGTCCCTGAACAGAAGCCACCGGTGATGCACAGATTGACATAGTAAAAATGTTGTGGTGAATTACAACATTACACTTTGTAAACAGATATAAAGGGTCTGAGCATTTATATATGTTGTTTAAATTAACAAATAAAAGTTGTCATGTTATCTTTAACATTTATTGTTGTGCCATTTGTGAGGCTATGGTAAGTCTTTTTAGGTTTGTTTATAAAGGTGTATTGTGCTGCTGCCTTTAATTGTGTTATGAGAATGTCTCCATGACTGACCCGAGCAGAAAAGGAAGCCAAATCTGTCCGCTTCCAAAAACAAACCAACCAGTATGTGTGCATGTGTGTGTGTGTCAGTGTGTGAGTGTCAACATACATCAAGAGCAGGTGTGGACAGGAGGACATGTGTGGACTGGGTGACATCTGCAGCATGGAGGCTGTTGTGGTACGCTACGTTTCCATGGTAATGGTCCTCCAGGGTCATCACATAAGTGACAAAGGTGTCGACCGGGATACGAAACGTCTTCAACAGCTCCCGCTCCTGAGGAGGAAGGACAGGAGCTACAACTTCACACACCAGCAAAACACTTCATCCCCCATAAAGCACACGCTCACACTTCTGTTGTTTACCTGGAAGATGGCGTACATGATGCAGCTGAGAGGTCTGTTGTTGGAGAATTCTGCTACTCTGAATATGTTAAAACTCCACTTATCCAGATCCTCCAGCTCCTGTTCAAACACACACAGACAAACATGATGTGATTTTTTTAAGCCATCAGGGTGCTCAGGCGGTGTCATGACACCATTTACATGTGCAGTAGGATCTAACATAGGGCTAGACAATAAACTTAACTTAAATTACCACCACCATGGATTGCTTACTGAATTTAATTTACCCAAAATTACAGATTGAACTGTGCAACATCAACCAGTGACATCCATCTATAAATAAACCAGCTCGCCAGTAATTACTTCAGAGCTGAAATGATTAGTCAACTATTGAGAGAGTATAAGAATAAAAGATCACTGGTTCCAGCTTCTTGATTTATTTTGTTACAGGTATTTTTTAATATTTTCTGACATTTAATAAACCAAACGACTAATCAATTAATCAAGAAAATAACAACTGTCAGAGAACTCAACAGTGAAAACAGCTTTGCAAAACTGGTGGCATGGCTGTTGACTCTCTTGTACGTAGCATTGTTAAATCTGATTTATGTACTGCTAAATGAAGATGCAGGACCAGAGACAGTTTCCATCCTGCTTTGGCCTCTCCAAACATTTGGTGCTACAGACTGTATGGAAGTAGACAACGAGGCGTCAAGCACAAAAAAACCTCTTTCAAATCTTTCTTTCATCTTCATGTGATGTAGACATAAACCAATCTTTCAATACTATGAGACCATCAACCTGAAAGAAAGTGCAGGGCACACACACATACTGTACTATCTCCATACTATTGGAAGGGAAAAATAAGCCAATATTTATATAAAACTATGTACAAGAAAATATTGTAATCTGTGAAAATCCTGAAAGCTGATATTTTATTTTCTTGTGTGCACAAGATAATAAAATATTCTCATTGTTCACAGTCCAAGTCTGAACAGAATTGATTTGTGCAACTTGTTTTGGAGTGAGTCAGAGGAAAGAAAAGACAGACAACAAGACCTTGGCAAGCTCATCCTCGTGGTCCGTGTTGACACCGAAGCGAGGCATGGAAGTGCTGGAGAGGCTGGAGCTGTGAGACAGTTTCCTCACTCCGCTGATGTGACTCATAGGTTTGTCTTTCAGGGTAGGAGATGGAATTTCCACCTCGTTCTGCTTGTCTACAGATTGATGGACAAACACAAACACACAGAGGTGGATTTGCTGGTTTTATTTGGCAAAGGTTATAAATGTGATGTGGACAGGAGTCAGACTCAGCTCCCACTCACCCATGAAGGTGCTGGAGATGTATTCAGACACCTGGTTACCGGAGCGACTCATCTCTGACAGGTGGGACAGCTCTCTGTTCAGCATCCTCTTAAACTGTGGCAGAATGGGAGCAAAGCAGAGAAACGAGTCAATGAGGTGCTGGTTCTCTAAATTTTAAAGTGGAGTGCGGGACTTTTACATATAAATAAACATCTGTTACATTCAAGCCCTCGCCAAACGAGTTGATACAAGGCTGTTTAAGCCTAACACCGCCTGGGAAAGCTCTCTTTGTTTTGAATTATACTGGCATTTTGGTGTGTGGTGAGTTTACTGTACTGGCACATCAGAAGTGACGCATTTTACATCACCGAGCCAGAGCTAAAGGGGACCAGAAGCAGGGAGAGACTATAGCAACAGAGCAGCTGCTTGGAGTATAGAGGAAACTATGGGATGCTATGAGAAAACGTGTCCAAGAACAGTTCCTGCAGTGCTCCAAATAAAAAAGAAACTCAACGTTCATAGGAAAAACTTAAGTCAAGACCTCCAAGCAAATGTCATAAGTTCGAGTTGACAGTGTTTATGTAATTAGTCACACTGCCAGAGGGGGAGACAAAAGTCTGCAGGTTTAAAGATGGCTAAATGGTAATATTCAAAACAGTGCTCTCTGAATTGAATGAATGAATTTGGTGGATGTAAGTAAGTCCCAAGGTTTAAGATTGCAGTAACATGACTGTGACATAGCATCAAAGGTTTTGCATGTCCCTGTTCAACATGCATGCATTAGTTGTTGGCTACAGTACAGTTCAGCATAGAGACCTACACCAATATAAAGCACAGAAAAACGATACCTCAGAGTTTGTTTGTTTACAGTTGAACAACAGAATTTACTATTGTAAATGACAGTAACAAAAAACATAAGATCACAATACATCGTCAGAGACATAAACTATAAATATGCAGCAAAATATTTTAAACTTACATGCTACGTGCTAAAAATACATAAAAATGTGGCATGCAAAAAAATTCTATTTGCAACACACTGTATGCTGATAGTGATATATTAATTAGCCTGCTGATGAGTTGGTTTGAATAGTTGGTCCAGTGATGTTCACATACCTTGTTGGAGGCCATTTCACTGACAGAGCGGTGTGTCTGAATGGTCTCCAGCTGGTCCAAGCACCAGTCCAGCTCCTCCAGTGTGTCCAGGGCGAGTTGCTGGTATTGCTGTTCTGATAGTGACGCCCTGGGACTGACGCACACACCACCCAGAGGAGACCTCCTGAGGACACAATGGTTAGTTTGATCTACCAGATACTGCAGTCAGCCACAACAAGTTAGCAACAGCCTCCTCACCATGTCCATCTTTTTATATTGTTTGTTTTTTAAAGACATTTATAGTTATTTATTACCAATCCCAAGTGTAGTTTTTAAGATTATTGCCACAGAACAGTGTTTTCTATTCTCTTCCTTTCTACTGTCAGTGTCTGTTGATCTGGGTGGCGAGCTGCTGCATACATTTTCCCTTAAAGCTACAGTTGGCTACTTTTATGAAAATAACTTTTTTGTCATATTTGCTGAAACTGTCGCCATATTCTTAGTACATGAGACAGATAATCTCATGACCCAGCTGCCATGTTCACAAACAGTCACACACATGTATATATGGGCAAATACACATTTCACGCATTCATACGCATTCATACACATAGATTTATACATCAGTCACAGGTGTCTGTAGCCAATCTACGTTGTAATTTGCTCTAACTAAGAATCACTTATGAAACATCCCACAGTTTTAGCGTTTTCACATATGTCAGAAATGGTTGCCATGTCCTGTAAAATTACCTGTAGAGCCACCCAGTGTACACTCTAGTTTCTCCAAGTGTAGAAAACTCATAAGATCACCAGCCCACTGGGCATGTGTGGGAAACGCCTCCTGCTTCCTCTTAGTAGGTATAAGGCGTCTAGCAGTTAAGAAGGCAGAGGCAATAGAATTTGAATAGTGTCTCGGAAGAGGTATGTTCTCTGGAACTACTCTGAAAAATTTCAATCAGTGGTGAGGGGGTAAATCTGACTCCAAGAACCACAGTAAATGTATTCAATATCGATGTCCAATAATTATCAAGATTTGGACAAGTCTGGAAAGTATGAATGAGGGATCCTGTTACTGTTCTGCACCTGCTGCGTAAGGGATCTGTCCCTGTGATAGTTTTGGGTTGGATGGCTTTGACAACCCGTGCTCAAGTAATATACGCCTATTGTACCAGATTTTACAAACTACCTCACAATGTTACTGTGGTCACAAAATGTGTCTCTGAGATGAGATGAGATGCATCCTTAAACTGACAAGTAGCAGTATTGTAAGGTCTTATATACAGTAGTAAAGGACATTGTTTTACTTTGTTTGTAAAGTGCGAATTACCTCTTTGACCGTTACACACATGACAACATACTATCACAATGTGCATAGGAGGAACACTTCAGGAGAATGAGTAGGTACTGACTTGATTGGCGGTGTGGAGACGTTGGCAAGAATGGTAAAATTGCTCCGTACCGATCGCAGACTCGCCAGTACCTAAATAAATACACATACCACAAGATATATAGAATAATATAAGAGAGATATATCCTAATGTCCTAATGTCCATGTCCTAATGGGAGGTTTAAGACAGGGATGAAGTGTTGAAGCTTCCAATGACAAATGCAAACATTTGTCAACAGGTCAAAATGATGTAAAATTGCTGAGAAACTATTACTGGGACTGGAGGCATTATGAAACATTTAACATAATGTATAGTATAATGATTAATAATTTACAGGAGAATAACATCTATTATGTGAGACTCACTTGGGCAAAAGGTGTGACAATGAAGTCCTCTCCTGTGTGCCTGAGAGAGACAGAGTTACAAGAATGAGAGAAAGCAATATTTCCCCTGAAAACATTTCACATACATGCTCTCTCCCCCTCTCACTCATTCTCTTTGTCTTTCGTCATGAGTCTCACCCTTCACTGGCGAGGGAGGAGTTACGTGAGACCGTCTTGGGCGACATGTCGTAGTCGGAGTCTGAACGGTAGAGGAAGGACTCTCTTCTCTGGCTCTGGAGAAAGGAGGTGTGTAGGGTGAGACTTGGACTCTGTGAACCCAGCGGAGTATGACCTGGTGATACGCCATTTTCTGCTTCATAACTTCAGCACGAGGGAAGGAGAAAAGGTTTGATGGTCAGAGAGGACAGAAATTTAAACATCCTGCAAGTTTCCAGCAAGGTGGAAAAATTTGTGTGTGTACCTGTCAGAGTCTGCTTGTGTGATGGAGATGCGTGGCGGGATGCGGAGGGGAAGAGTTGTTGGACGCGATACACTGCTCAGGACCTCAGGTGAACGAGTGCGGTCTCGAGGGCGGAGCCAGCAGGGTACCTGAGGAGTTAGAAGGAAGGGTTTGTAGATGATACGAGTCACCAGTTGCTTTGCAGGAGTAAAGCACAATTTGTTCACTCAGTCTGTGATATGTTAAAGGCTGGGAAAACAAGGAACTGCCTCAAGGTCCCAGACACGCAGGGGCCCCAGAAAACCCAGATTCACTGTCAGCTGGTCTGATGTAACTTGATTAATCGCAAATTTCTGACGTTTCAATAGAACTTTTAAATAAAACTTTCTGTAAATAAAACAATTTTGCTGACGATTTTAAATGTATGCAGTGAAATATTTGATTTATTTGTATATATTTTTCCTGTCATTTCACACATGCATGGGGTTTCTGTTGATTTAAGTGCAGTAGGAAATTCAAGTCCATTAATTATCACGATTTTATCTGGTTATTTGGGTGCAGCAGAAACAAGCTGTAAACACACTTGAATCACTGACATAATATCCCCTTTAAGTAGATGTGGAAAACTTATTAGCAAATAGTTGGCCATTTATACATCTAGCAGACACGAAGGAACATTGTCATTCAATTGGAGTTGTGTTGTGTCCACCTGGTGAAATCCAATATTTACTCATTTAGCTGTGTTTTGCTGCTCACCAGCTCCTGAAAAAAAGAAATGACCCTTTAGGTGCTCAATGCTCCACTGTGTTTTCCAGATAGCTGCTAACTTTGTCTGCTGTTTTGTCACTGGGCAGCCAGTTAACAATGGAAGTATCAGGGCATTACTATTAGTATATCATAGTATCTATAGTATTTCCCTTAGAACAGCTGCATGCTGCCTCTAAAGAGCAAACAGCTGCAGGCTGTAAAACAAAAACAATGAGCTAAGGGGATGAGAGATAATTCTGTTTCCCTTTCACCTTACACACAGCCATCATTTATCTATTGTTAATATAAAAATATTGATTATTGCAGCTTTAATATATCATCGTGAACATCAAGTGTGCATTAGTGATGCTTTTCAAGCACAGATGGATTTAAAAAGTCTACAATTTAATACCTCATAATGACGGAGTAATGCCCAAGCAAGTCTTTACATTGTACCCAAATTGATTAAAGCCAGAAAAATAAACCGAACATTGTAAGACAATGTTGTGGTTTGTAAAATGATTAGCTTGTAAATATAATTTGTCGTAAAATGGGCAAAAACATGCCAAATCAAATGGTATGGCCCTTTTATGTTATGTTCATGTGAGTGGGGGATTAATAGGGGCCCATTGCTCGTTTTTACCCCAGGGCCCTGAGCAGGTCAATGCGCCCTTCCTTCCTTTCAATACCTGGAGACTAGACGAAAGTCTTCTGCTCCTCCCTCTGCGTAGCTCAGCCCCCAACGTAGCCCCAGACGTATAAGACCGGCTGTAGCGAGATGACTCCGCCTTCTCCCCAGCACCTGTTATATCTGTGTTGTTACCCTGTGAGACAGGAGGGAGAGCAGGTGAGGGAACCAGAGACACTGGGCAAAAGAGACACGTTTAAAAAAAACACACACATTGTTTTCCTTGTAAATAAAAATATGTACTGTGTAAACATTCAAAGTAAATAAAATGAAAGAACTTGGTCCATGCAGAACATTTACCAAACCATGTTGATTTTCTATATTCAAATTCTGACCAGTGAAGAAACCACATAAAAACACAGGCTGTAAATTATCAATCTATGTGTGTTTGCATGCGTGTGTGACAGTGTGTGTGTTTGGCTACATGTGTGCATGTGTGTGTGTGTGTCTGGGATAAGGCCTCTACAGACTGAGCTCTTAGAGGCTGATCTGCACTGCAGTACCGTAGCAACAAAACACTGGGGGAATGGTAGCAGTTGCTAGGCAACAGTGCCGTGTTGCTTCCATGCTGCGCTTGATGTCGTCCAGACCCAGATGTGGAAGGATGCTCACATCCACACACACACACACACACACACACACACACATACAGTACACACAAACATACACAAATATATGGACACCTGCCTCTCAGCATAATCAATAAAAGAGCACTTGAATAATGCATGGTATTATGTCCTTCAGCCAAGATGTTATCTTTAAAAGAAATAGCTCATTTACATAGAGCGCTCATTTAGCTGAGGCTCATTTACATACAGGACTATGACTGACTGAGTGGTTTACACTGTGTGAGTGGAGGCTGGAGAGGACAAACTGTCCACTCTGACTCCTGCGTGCATCCACAGACCTTGACAACAAGAACAAAGGGAGCCTTGGATGTGTGAAAGTCACGAGGTTTGTGTGTCATGGTAAGCATTCAAGAAACACACACACACACACACACACACACACAAGCACAGTCCAGTGTGACACACTGCTCTGCCTTATATGCACTCACATGGAAACAAGTGACAGAGTTAGTTGATTTTCTCGAGTATATCCCGAGTTGTTTATATTCTCACCTCTTCTCCAGTCACAGACAGCACGCTGCGGCTCTTCTTCATCCTGATTGGCTCGTTCTGGGCCCCAGGGCGGAGCGTTCCGGAACCCAGGCAGCAGAGCAGGTGGAGAGCCAGGACCGGAGAGGTCAAAGGTCACTGCAAGGTCAAACCGGGGTCAGACCGGGTCACAACCGGCCCCCATTGGAGCTGACTCAGCCAGCCAACCGCCTCGCTCACACTCTGTCCACACCTCAGTCTTCAGAGGGCTGAAACTGGGCGTCCAACCTGCCGTTAGATGCTAAAGGTGCATTTAAGTGCCCCTCAGAGGCTCCAGGTTCAGTCTGAGGTGGATGACCTTTGTTTTGATCTGTTGGTTTTTTTCAACAAGCCAAAGGTGGAAGACAAAAAAAAATCCAAATTCTCACTCCATTTTAGTGTAAGCTACGAGTTTCTGGGAAAAAATAAGTCCGTCTGCATGTTGTCTTGCTCTGGCCAGACAGGCCAACTGGATATCCGGATCAGAGTTCATGATGTCACTGCTGAGGAAAACCTTTTCCCAAGTTTTCTAAAATGTTCATCCAACTTGAAGTATCGTTTGCATGACATCTCCCAGTGGTAAACCTGATCCCACATGAATGCAACTATCAATAATCCAGATACAGCTTGTGGGAGACTTTGCACCAACTCTCTCCTGTCTCAGATCAGTTTCCCATTGTCTGACTGGTCAGTCGGATCCAAATCCTGCATTGGGAGAAGTGTTGAATATGATTGGCCCATCTGATAAGTCCAGATGTCAAAATTCCAAGCTTGATATGTCGAGATCCATCCTTGAATCTGTCCCGGTGTGTCCTCTTCCGTAAAGATTCCCCCTGTGAGAAACAGAGATGAAGAGTTCATCATCCTTCTTTTATAACTCTCTGTCCTGTTTTCATTCAATGAATTAATCTGATGCATCATATATATATATATATATATATATATATATACACATAAAAATCCTGTTCCCCATATACATACTGTACTATTTTAGTAAGATCGGGGATATTTTTGGGGAAAATGCCTATTGTTTTCCACATGCATGAACAAAACACCAAAGAAATGCTCATAAAAATTACAATTTGTTAAGTAATAATCCAAATGATTGGTCGGGCAGCCCTAACAAAATATTTTGGGCAATGCAGGAGCTGTACCTACAGTGTGGCTAATTCTGAGCAGATACTGCAACACCAAAGCTCTGTGATGTTATATAATTACTCTGAGCAGTCCGAGATGACCTAATTCCATTGCATAGGACAGATTCGGCATATCAGAGTGTTTCTGATTGAGCTGGTACACAGACAGATAGCGGTGGAGACGACTTTTACCAGGGGTCATCAAGAACACACCCACTCAATGAAAGCACTCTCACACCAGGGTCTGCACTGACTGAGAGTGGGGGGAAAATAGGCTGGAGAAATCAACAAATGCATGGTGACACAGTGACATATATATGCACAGACAATGAGAAATCTGAGCACATACATTCACACACCATGGCTGCCACCAGTGCCACCTCCACGACAGATAAAGCAGCTTATAAAACCAAGCAGCAATGCATCAATATGCAGCTCAACTACCAGCCTGCTCTTCTGTTACAAAACACCCAAATATATATATATTAAACACACACACACACACACACACACACACACACTGAAACCATGCATACATGAGGACAGCCCTGCCATCGTGCCTGTCTGCACACGCACTGCAAGAGATATGTGCCAGACACATGTACACACACATTCACACACACTGTCAAGCCGCAGCATGTAAGAATAAAAACACACTCACCTTGATCGCCTCAAGATCAATGGCAAGATGGGCTGGGCCTCGTCTTGCTTTCACTCGCCTCCTTCCCCTTGTCTCTTCCCCGCTCCCTCTGTCTCTCCGCAGACTAGCAGCAGTGTGTCACCACGGCGAGAGAAAAAACACTTGGCGTCTTCATGAATATCAGCGGCTTCACCAGCCTCCCTCCCTCGCTGCCTCTCCCCTGCCACAGTGGTCTCCCCCAGCCACCCCCCCACCAACACCACCACCACCACCACAGCCTCCGTGGAGAAGCCCATCTCCCCTCCCCTCCCTCCTCCTGCACAGTGTGTCCATTAATCCCATACAACAGCCTCCGCTCCTCCTCTCTCCATCGGTACCCCTGCCTTTTTTTATTCCCTGGCAATGCCTTTTTTTTTCTCTTAATAGCAGCCACACGCCGATTCTCTGCTTCCATACCCAGGCGTCATTTCCCTCCATTATAGCCACCCACACACATGCACACAGCAGGGTTTTATTGGAACACATCGCTCATATTAACAAAGAAAAATCCCTGTAAAGTATGCATGCATCCTGTTACTCTCCATTTGTCCTTCCATGTCCTTAAACAGTCATTCGAGGACATGTAACACATTTATCCATTTTAAACCCCAAAACAGGAATCATGCTTCTTTTGTTTGCTTCATCTTGGACACTCTGAAATAAATGTGTACATGGACACTGAGCTTCCCAAAGCTAGAGAGCAGAGAGCAACAAGGTTTTTGTGTTTAAGCAACCTTTAATGAATTTACCCCATCGATGACAAACAAGAGGCTGCAGATGGTTGTTTTTTATCAAGTGATTCCTTGTTTAGTCTTAAAAGTGTCAGAAAATACTTTTAAAAAGTCCATCATAAGTTCCCAGAGCCCAAAAATTGCCCCAAACCCAAAGATACTCAGATTACTATAAGACAAGTAAAGGCAGCAAATCCTCACATTTGAGAAACCATGAGGTTTGACATTTTTGCTTGAGAAAGGACTTAAAATAACAAGAATAAAAATAATACTAACTATATTTGTAGAGCACTTTTCTAGCTGAAAGCACAGTGCTTTCCATGGTGATACTAATAAAACATATGCATACACATACGCCTACACCAACATATACACTTAAACACATACACTGATCAGCCAAAACATTAAAACCACTGACAGGAGACGTGAACAACATTGATCATCTTGTTACAGTGCAGTGTTCTGTTGGCAAATCTTGGGTTCTGACATTCACGTGGATGCCACTTGACAAGCGCCACCCATCTAAACACCAGTGCAGACCAGGCACTCCCCCTTTATGTCAGCGGCACTCCCCAGTAGCAGTGGCCCCCCAGCAGGACAATGCACCATGCCACACCACAAGAACTGCTCAGGAGTGGCCCAGGAAAATGACAGAGACCTCAAGGCATTGACCTGGCCTCCAAATTCCCCAAATCCCAGTCTGATCAAACATCTGTGGGACGTGCTGTTACCCCACCTCACAACCCACAGGACCCAAAAGATCTGAAGCCAACGCCCTGCTGCCAGACACTATAGACAACTACAGACAACTTCCAGAGGTCCTGTGTTCATGCCTTGACAGGTCAGAGCCAAGTCAGGTCCAAGGAGGCCCCACCATGGATTGGGGTACCTCTGGGGTACCAGCACATCCCTCAAATGTTCAATCAGACTTTCAGGTAGGGCCAATCTGTAAAAGTATGTTTTCAGATGAGATTCAAAGACATGAACAGAGTCAGTCAGTGGGAGGCTGTTCCAAAGCCGAGGAGCAAGAACTGAAAAGGCTCAATCACCCTTTGTCTTTAACCTGGCCTCTGGAACAGTTAGAGGACCCAGACTAGCAGAACTGAGGGGCCTGTCTGGACAGTATGGTGTAAGAAGCTCAGTTACATACTCCGATGCCAGATCATTGAGAGCCTTGTATGTAATTCAAAGTACTTTAAAATGGATTCTGAAAGAGACTGGGAGGCCAACATAGGTGTAATATGAGGATCATCAAAAGTCTTATACATTAATTATCAAAGATAGCTGTAGATTAGTTTTCAGTCCATCAACTCAGTTTCATCTCAGTCTTTTCAGACACAGTGATAGTAGACGGAATGTCTAAACAGCCTCTGATGATCACAGTTAACATTAAGAAACTAAACCTGTGCTGACTTCAGCCTGCTCAATGCATTTTCAAAATGATTACAGCAATGACAGGACCCGACTGTGACAATAACAACCACACATTGATATAAACATAGAAATAAACACACCCAAGCAGTTTTGCATGAAGCTGTGACGCTATTCTGTTTCTCTCCCATCGGCTTTTACAGGCATTATCTAGATTTGATTTATTCCCTGGGCCTGCGCTGATTGTTTTCTATTTACAAAAGTGACTGCACAAAGAAGCTTTGCCTCAAAAAATCCTGCACAGACCACTAAATCAAACCCACCAATTAATTATGAAGGAGAGAGGGGGAGAGGGAGGGAGGGACACAGCAATTAATTATGCAAGTGAGAGAAAAAGAGAGAGATGGAGGGAGAAGTATGGCAGCAAATGAGTCAGGATACACAGACACTAGTGGAAAAGTTATTACATCAAACACAGTTTGTGATCAACACAAAGTTTGGACTAGTTCTCAACACAACTTAAGAACAATCTCACAACTTCAAACAAAACGTTCTGCTTGTAAAACACATTGACAATACACACAAACTATGACATATCAAGAAAACAGGAACCAAAAAACTATTGGACCTCCGCTTAGCTGGACAGACTTATTATGATATTCCATGAATCATTTCAGTCATTCTTCATGCAGAATTGTCAAACATTTCCTTGTTCCAGCTGCTTGGACACTTTGCTGCGTCTCTCTGTTTTATATCACTGCACATCTTGGGGATATTTTATAGACAAAAAGCTTAATAAATTAATCAAAAACATGTAATCTGCAGATTAATCCGTGATGATGAGTTGGGCTTTGTGATTGTTATAAAATACAATTGAAAAGAATCTTGAGAGGTTTACTCTGAGATGTCTGGAGTGCCCAACCCATACTGGATTTTTGATGTTGATACCAATATTGATATTTGAGAGTTACAAAACCCTGATAATGATAAATCAGCTGGTATCATCATCATCATCAATATCAAAAGCTGGGTTTTATCACAGTAGCTGGTTGTGGTGGAGCTCATAGTGATTTATTAACTAATGATTATTTTTTATAATGGATTAATCCGCTGATTATTTTCTTCATTAATTGATTGATTGTAAAAAAGAAATTGAGAACTGGGGGGCCAGGTAGCTCAGTGGGCAGAGCTGGTATATCCTTGACACAGTGGCAGCAGGTTCGCTTCTAGCCTGTGGCCATTTGCTACATGTCATCCTCCCTCCCTGCCTTTCACACTTAACACTGTCCTATCAAATAAAGGCAAAAGCCCAAAAAATAATCTTAAAATAAAGGTAAGAATATTAAGAAATGCTGTCACAATTACCCAGAGCACAAAGTTACGCCTTCATTTTGTCCCATCAACGGTCAAAACCTTAACATTATTACAATTATATTAGTTATTACAAGTATTAAAATGAAAAGAAGCAAAACTTCACATTTGAGCAGCTGGAACTTTTAAACGTTTTCACAGTAAAATTTACTTCATTACAATCAAAATAGTTAACTAAACTAAGTCATCAACTAATTGATTGATCGACTAATTGTTTTAGCTGGACGTGTATAAATTGCTGAATAGTTTTTTTAAAACAATCTTTTTTATTGAGTTTTTAAACAACAAACTTGAACAGTAACATTTCAACAAAGAAAAAAGTATGATATCCCCAACCCTGGTGAGAAGAAAATAAATAAATAAAATACTACTACTACTAATAGTACATAAATAAATAAAATAAGTAATAACATAAAATTATAATGACAGCAGTGCATAATTTGCAAAAAGCTTCAAATTATTCAAACTCAACTGTTGGCTAGTTTAATCTATAACAAATCATCATATTCTAAAAGTATGTTTTGTATGCAAAAATCTTAAAGTAACTAAAGCTGTCAGATCAATGAAGTGGGGCAAAAACTTCAACATTTCCCTTTGAGCTGTCGGGGAGTAGAAGTATAAAGTTGCATGAGATGGAAAGAGTCAAGTGAAGTAGAAGTACCTAAAATGTCTATTTTAGAACAGTACCTGAGTAAATGTACTTAGTTACATTCCACCACAATGACACCTGACAGTCTCAATAACAAACCTCACCTTCACCTAACCCATGTTCCAAACATTAGCTGCTGCGGTTATATTCAGAATTCACTGCACTGGGCAAAAACTAGAGTCTAACAAAACTGTCATGAATAACTGATATCAGCTGACTTTGACTACAAGATACTCAGTGGTCTTAAAATTCACAGAACTTGTAAGTGGGTTAACTCGATAGATTTGTGTTTACCATATAGGCTTCTAGATAGTGGGTGTCTCTCCCCAAACTGACTTGAGATGGCGCTGTTGACCACAGTACAACAACACATGACCGTTCAATATGTAAATGTTAGGTGCCTGTGATGGCATACTAAACTTTATTTATTTATTTTTTAAAATAAAATATGACATTTGGATGACTTTTTAAATGTATCAGAGTTTCACGAGTCAGAGGTATAAGCCAGTGTCTCAGAGCTTCACATCCAGTCTGTTGCTGTGTTGCTCTTAAAAAAACTAGACGGCTCGGTGGCTGTTTTCTCAAGTGATCTTTCAAGCTGCTGTCTTCACTAACAAAGGATATGAAGAGAGGGAAAACCTATTCACAATTAAGGAACTAAGGACGCAGCAGCCAACTCTAACGTGTAAAACAATGTGTACGGGTAACTGTTCAAAATTAAACCTAACAGAATATCAATTTTTAGGTGTTAAGATGCCATCATCAGACACAGATACATAAAAATTAGGAGTGGCAAGGTAAGATGGTAAGATTGGTGATCGGTATCAAATCAGATGATTCTCACATTAATTCAGGGTTAAGTATCAATTTAAAATCAGATTGAGACCTGCATAAAAGTTACCTTATTCTGTAGTTATTCTGTTTGTGGTTGCACAAAGCAGCTTGTTTTAACACTGCTAATCCAGTACTCCAGTTTCTATTAATTACATGACAGTTTAGTACATATGCTTATTAAATACGTACATATGTATATTATGTTGGATGTATGACATTTCTTTTACACTGTTGGACTGTCAATCATTGTCAGCTAACAAGGAATGTTCTTCTCTCTCTCTCTT